TTTTATATATGTCTCCCCATTGCCTGCATGGTTTCTGTTGAGAAATCTGAGCTTAGTCTGATTTGCTTGCCTTTGTATGTTATACTTCTCTTTTCCCTACCTGCCTTCAGGATTCTGTCCTTATCTTTGATTTTGGAGAGCTTGATTATTATATGTCTTGGTGTTTTTCTTTTAGGGTCTTTCCTTCTTTGGGTTCGTTGAGCTTCTTGGATGCTTATCTTTTCGCTTTTCAGTATGTTAGGGAAATTTTCTTCCAGAAGTTCTTCAGTTATCTCTTCTATGGACTTATGTGATTCTTCCTGTTCTGGAATGCTGATAATTCTTAAGTTATTCTGCTTCATGTTGTCCACATGAGTCTTAGACCGTCTTCAAATTTTTTTTATCCTTTTTTTGTTTGCTCTTTTATCTTAGTGGTATTGAGAGATTGATCTTGCAGCTCACTAGTTCTAGCTTCCATCTCTTCAGTTCTACACCTTTGCCCTTTCAGTGAGTATATTGCCCATTTTTGATATACAATTATTGTTTGGACCTCTTCTGTAGGTTTTGAATTGTTCCCAATTCATCTGTCTTATTTGATTGTTCCTATAGTGCTTTCCTAACTTTTTCCTTATTTTTCTCAACTCCATTGTGAAGTGTTTTGATACATTTTATAATCATTTTTCTGAATTCCTTCTCAGGCATTTCCAAAGCCTGCCCATCTTACAATATAGAGTGTAGGTCTACCTCCAGCTCATTTGTCTCAGTCACTTTATCTTGTTTCTGGACATGTGCTGATATGATCATGTGTTTCTGTTTTTTTTGGCATTTCAGTAGTTAGCTGTGGCCTTAAAACTTAGATGGATGTGTGTTTTGGTATTTTTTATGTTTTCTGATTGCCTCCAGGTAGATGTGATCAGGAGATGGGCTTCCCTTTTCACTCTGCATCCTGAGAAGTTTCAAGATGCCACTGTTGGTCGTTATGCTGTAACTCGGGATTTTCAGCCTGTTTCCTTTTTAGTCTGCCTGTACTGCTCCACAACCCCCACTAAGGCCTTTTTCCTGGTTATAAACAGTTCAGGGCCAGCTGCGGCTATTTTGTGCTATTGTTTGATTTTAAGTGGAAACGGTCCCTTTAAATTTGGAGATCTGTGTGCATGCGTAATAGAAGAACCCTCTGGGGATGGGGGTTGGGTGTCCATTTGCTCAGGCACCCCCTCTAGTCACCAGAATGGAGGTGCACAGACAGCGAGAGGCCAGTAAACAAATATGACAAAAATAATGTCCACACCTTTATCTCTGCGGTTCTGTCAGGGGTCCTTGGCTGCTCTGATTCTTCCCCAGTTCGGTCTTGCCCAAGATGGCAGCTGAGCACCTTGAATTAGAAAGCACTGGATTTCTTGATTCTTCCCAAAATTCCATTGGCTGTGTAAGCCTTCCAACTTTCTAAATATTCCTTAATAAGTGGTTCAGAGTTTTGGGACCATACCCTAAGCCTGTTTGGTCCGGTATTCTATGTTGTTGGTGAAGAAGCTCCTCACTACACTTCCACCCTCTCTGCCATCTTTTTTGTTTATATCTCACAACATTCTTATCAAGGGAGAAAAGATTGAAGTTTCAAGGACTTCATTCTTTTTGGATCAACTATCAACACTCATGAAAGCAGCAGTCAGAAAATCAAAGGACGTCTTGCTTTAGGCAAATCACCTGCACAAGATCTTTTGAAAGTGTTGAAGAGCAAAGATGTCAGCTTGAGGACTAAGGTGCATCTGACCCAACCCATGGTATTTTCAGTAACCTCATATGCATGTGAAAGCTGGACAGTGAATAAGGAAGACCGTAGAAGAATTGATGCATTTGAGTTATGGTGTTGGAGGA